TGTGATGCTAGTTTTAGAGATATGCAGAATATAAGAGTTGTAGGGTCATAGAGGCTTCCATTAAAATTTCACAAGAGGACCTGGATCGTCAGCCACTGTAAGGCAGTGTTGAAATTCCTATAGGAGTACATCACAGGGAGAGTGCTATACAAAGCTGTGAGAAGAAAGCTGAAACTGCAATGGAGACCCCTGGAAATTAGAGATGCGAAGAACATTGGAATGTCTACCAACAAAAGCCATAGGAATGTGCACAGTTAGCACAAAACAGTGGCTGTATAGGCTGCAGCTTGTAAGGCCTAGGGGCAGGGCTGTCCAAGCTTTTTGGAGCTCACATCCATCATGTGCTCTAGATACAGGACATGGGACTAAGGATTTAATATTTACCCTGTTGGGTTTCTGCCTTGCTTTAGTCTACTCCTTCCTTGATACTTGCCTATCCCTTGTCTTTGGAATGAAATGTTCATCTTGTGCAATTGTATGATGGAAATATGTAACTTGTTTTTTGATTTTTACAGGGGCTCATAGCTAAGCATTTGCCTTGAGTCTCAGCAGAGACTTTGGATTTGGACTTTTGAGCAATACTGGAACTGTTAAAAGTATGGGGACTCTTGTAGATGGACTGAATGCATTTTGCATTGTGAGATGGATGATAGCCTTTTGGGGCTCAGGTTCAGATGTTATAGTTTGGATTTAGAATGTCTTCCAAAGGTTTATGTATTGAAGGTTTCATCTCTAGTTGGTGGAACTGTAGGAAAGTGAGATGAAAACTTTAGGAAATGGAGTCCAGCTGGAGGAAGTAGTAAGTCCCAAGAGACATACCTTCGAATAGTATATTTTGTCCCAAGCTCCTTCCTTACACTTCCCCCTCTCTTAGCTTAATGGCTTCCATAGTGAGTAGCTTTGCTATGCTGTACTCTTCTGCCATGATGTACTGCCTCACAACAGGCCCAGAAACAATGGAGCCAGTTCACCATCAACTAAAATCTCTGACCCCATGACGCAAAACAAACCTTTCCTCTTAAAAAAAAAGATGAATAAAGAGAAAAAATAGTGATACAATCCATAGCAGATCTTCTAGCACTGCAATTTCTGCTGAACATTTTAACCTTTGATACTTCCTTATCTATAGAATCTTTTCTATCATCTCTGGTCTATTCTCTCCTTTCTCCACCTTCACTCTGTAGGGTACACTCTACTCTCTTATCTAGAAAGGTTGGCCTGTATGATTTCCCTATCTCACTCTCCCAATTCTTAATTGCCTGCTGTATTTAATTGGCATATGAGTAGGTCCTAGGATAAAGATAGTCTCCTGAGAATTTGCATTTGGGTTAACCACTGGGAAAAATAATAAAAATTCAATAGTAGTGATGTATTATTAGAATGTCAGTCTGCAAAGAAACAAAAATAACTGTAGATTTACACAAAAGATAAGTAAGTGAGACAGTGTGAATGTGTTTCCTGGCTCTTTCTGTTTCTTATTTCTCATTCCTTCCTGCAGTGTGGTTGTATTTTTGTCTTTGGAATCCCAGAGTAAAATAATTTTTTTCTTAATGAGGTTAAGTAAGTTTTTCTTTCTTGTATTGACCATATGAAAACAACAAATCTTCCACTATTTTAAAGCTATGGAACTGTATCATATGCCTGAAAATTTAACTTAATCTGTTAACTTAATACTCATAAATCCTAGGATGACTTTCATCCTCTTTCTTTCTGGGTTTATAGAGTATATAATGCTATACTGCCACATAATATTTTATAGTAGATTCCTTAATAAAATAATGCATTACACATTATAGACTCTAACATTTTAAGGTGATTTAATTTCAGCAAAATTTATAAGTGCCCCCAAATCTCAATACTGTAATTTCCAACTTCTAGAAAATGAGTTTGCTTTAAATAAAGGATGATATGTTATGTGTGTCATAACAATCAATGTGTAAGACTTCCAGGTAAAATACATATGCCCAGTTATATTTAAATTTCAAATAAATCACAAATTTTTAGCATATCTTACATATTGCATGAGATATTTACATGGGACAATGAGTAAACTTTAAACTAAAGTATTTTTATTTAGTAAATTTAGATTCATGAATAAAAGAATAAATTCATGTCAGTCTTACCTGTGTTGCTTGTGATGTTTCCTCTTGGAATATCAATTAACCAGAAAATCTGATCACTAAACTTGAATGAAGAAGGCATCAGAAAGCAATATTTTACAATGTTAGTAGTAACATTTATTTTGGCATATTCTACTCATCTTTTTTTTTTCTGTACTGGGGATCGAACTCTGTTTTCACACTGAACCACACTCTCAGTTTTGTTTTTTTTTTTTTTTTTTTTTTAATTTTGAAACAAGACCTTATTGAGTTGCTAAATTGACCAGGCTGGGCTTGAACTTGCAGTTCTCCTTCCTCAGCCTCCCAGAATGCAGGGATTACAGGAGGATGCCACCACACATGGCTCAACCCAACCTCTCAAAAAAGAATTAAATGAAAGCATCCAAATATATAAAACTTTTATCTAGCAATTTCATTGTTAAGATTTTTCTACATTATATTCAAGAATATGTTGGCATCATAGTTTGGAATAGCATAAGATTGGAAATGATGAAAACGTTAATAAGTTGTATACAATAATATAGCCACATAATGGATTACCATACAGCCAAGCTCTGGTAGCATGCAGTTGAAATACTATTGCTTAATAGTAATAATCAGAGACAAAGCATGGGACGGCAGAGCATTTCAAAATTTAAGAGAAAATTCCGAGGAGCAAGAGATCTGCAAGAATGGTGAACTCTAAGATTTGTACAGAAACTGTGTCCAAATCCGTGTGATATACAGGTGCAGAAGACACCCCAGAAGACCAGGTCTAAAAACCCAGCAGTGGAAGCTAAAAGAATTGGCAGAGACATCAACTACTGAAACTATAAAACAGTTTGAAGGTTCTGCAAAGTTCAGTTTACCTGCATTTTTGGAATAATAAGAACAGCAGTTTCTTAGAAGAACAAAACAGAACCTAAAGTTGGTATAACATATTGTCTTTAAGGCCCAGTTTTCAACCAAAAGTGACAAGGTGTGAAAAGAAACACGAAAGTGTAACTGAGCCAAGCATGGAGGTCCATGCCTGTAATTTCAGCACTCAGGAGGCTGAGGCAGGAGGGTCACTGCAAGCTCAAGGTTAGCCTAGGCTACAAAGTGAGTTCAAGGCCAGCATGAACTACATGGTGAGACCCTGTGCCCCTCAAAAAGTCACTGATATTCAGGAAAAAAGGGTAAACACTAACCTGATTCAGAGTTCACATACCAGAAATGACTTTGAAGAATTTATTACAAAAATGTACATATGTTTAGGAAAATGTTCCAACAAAGGAATGGGTGGAGAACCCCATACAGAAAAACAAACAAATAGAAATAATAAGGCTGACAAGTATAATAACCGAAATGCAATTTTTATTTAACTGCAGTCTAATTTGATTGCAGACTGGAGATGTAAAAAAGAAAGAGTAAATGAATTTAGAGATACAGCTTTTAAAACTACCAAATATTTTAAAAGAAGGACATAGTAGGGTGACTTAGATAACAATAATCTATTGTATATTTCAAAAAATGAGAAAAAGGGATTTTTTTTTTGGGAATCAACTCTGAACTTTGCGCTTGCCAGGCAGGTGCTTATGCCACTGAGCTACATCCTCAGCCCTGAGAAAAAGGGATTTTGTATGTTCTCACCATCAAGAAATTTTTGAGGAGATAGCGTGTTTAATCTGATTCAATATATATGTATATATTGTGCATACTACACAACATATATATTGTGTATACTACACAACATATATATTGTGTAGAATACACAATATATACATGTACACTACATGGTAACCCATTAATATATGAAATTTTCATGGACTTAATGTATCAATTAAAAAGAAATTTAAAAAAACAGGGAAACAATTAATGGAAAATAAAGTTTTATAGACTTGTGGAATAATATAAGAAAATGTTCCAAAATGTGTATAACTGGATTCCAAGCAAGAAAAGAGACAGAAACATGGGTAGAAAAAATCTTAAGGAAATAATGGCTGAAGGCTTTCAAAATGTGGTGAATTTGCACTGCAGGAAGCTCAGGGAACCCCAACTGGATAAAAACAATTGTCAAAACAGTTCAATAGTGAATAGTAATTGCCTTTTAACAATTGGTGCAATGAAAACTGGATATCTTTATGCAGATAATGAATACAGAATACTACCTCCTATTGTACAGAATATAAGAACTCAAAATGAATCAAAGACTCAAAGGTAAAAGCTAAAAGTATAAAGCTTCTGGAAGAAAACATACAGGTGAATCTTTCTGACCTTTGATCAGGTGATGGTTTTCTATGCCTGACTCAAAAAGTTTAAGGAAGGAATTTTCATATATCAAGCACACTATGAAGAAAGTGAAAAGGCAACCAAAAGAATGAAAGAAGATAATTTCAAATCATATCTGGTATGGGACTTCCATCTGGAATATAAAAAGAATATTTTCAATTCAACAATAAAAAACTCAATTAAAACAGGACCAAGAATCTAAATAGCTATTTCTAGACCGGGTGTGGTTGTGTACAGCTGTACTCCCAGCACTTGAGAGGCTGATGTAGGAGGATCGCTGTGAGTTTGAGGTTAGCCTGGCTACATAGTGAGTTCAAAGCTGGCTTGAACTATACAGTGAGACCCTGTCTCAAAAAAAAAAGCTGTTTCTCTAAAGAAGACATTCTTGTGACCAGGAAGTATATGAAATAGTACTCAACATCACTTATCATTAGAAAAATACAAATCAAAACCATGATAGAGTTATTCATACTTATGGAAATGGCTATAACAGTAAAGACACAGCAACTGCTGGTGAGGATGTGGAGAACTGGAACTCTAATAACATAGGTAGAAATGTAAAACAGTATAATTATTTTGCAAAGCAGTCTGGTAGTTCTCAAAAAGTTAAATATGGCTTTGTGTCCAGAGAAATAAAAACATTTCCATGCAAACACTTACCCACAAATATTCATAGCAGCATTAATTATAATAGCCCCAAATTGAAACAACCTAAATATTCATCAACTGATGAAGAGATAAATCAAATGTGCTGTCAATACAATGGTATATTATTCAGCCAGAAAACGGAATGTAGTACTGATACATGTCACAACATGAATGAATCTTGAATACATTATGTAAACTCAATGATACAGTCATAAATATTATATATTATGTTTCATTTACACAAAATGCTCAGAATAAGCAAATATGTAGAGAAATAAAGCAGAGTAGTGGTTGCTTAGGGCTGGGGAGTAGAGGGAGGCATGTCTTCTAATGATTCTGAGTTGTCCTTTGGAGTGAGAAAATGTTCTGGAATTAATAGGGATGATTGTATAAATCAAGTGTATGAATTTACTAAAAAGCAATGAGTTATACACTTTACATAGGTGAACTGTGTGGTATATGAATTAGATCTTAATAAAGTTGTCTTAAAAATGAAGGTCAAATAAAGACATTTTCAGAGGAAAAACCAATTCACTGTCAGTAGATTTGCACTGTAAAAAGTTTCTCCAGGCTGAAGAAAAGTGATACCAGATGCAACTTATATTACAGAAGAGGATGAAGAATAATAGAAATGGTAAATAAGTAAGTAAATACTAAAAAATTGTACTTTTATTCTAATTTCTTAAAAATATTATGACTGATTAAAGCAAGAAGTATAATACTATATTTTTTAGGTTTTAACATATATATCTATGTCTATGTATGTCTATATCTGTAATGTAATATTACTGAGTTAATGTCTTTAAAAACATACCCTATAAGGAAGAGCATAAATACCACAGAATAAAATAAAGCATAATTACCAATGTTAAATTAAAGTGGAAGATGCCATGATATGTACTATTTATGATTTCCAAGGTAGGAGCAAGTCCTCCAGATGTGAATGTACTTAGCATTTCTCTGGAAACAAGGTCATCCTCCATTTGGAAAAAGCATTGGATTTTCTTTAGGAAAGAGAAAAATAAACAAGTAATGACAATTTAACAGAGAGAAACGTATTACATTAATTTAAAAATGAGGAGAAATCTGTGAAAAGTAAATGCTGCTAAAGCAACTATCTCCAGTAATTCCTCCTCTAACTAGAGAAAAAAAATACTATTTTCCAAATTATACTTTTAGAACTCAGTAACCTATCATGTTATTGTTATAAAGTTTCAATTTATCCTTATTGTAATCTTTTCTGTCATAGAAACAATGTTTTAATCCCTATCATTTGGTTTGAAACCCTGTATCATTTTTAATGTCCTTTCATTGTTTTGTTTGTATTTTAAAATTGTTCTTTTTTTTGGTACTATTTTCTTTTGAAAAAAAAAACTTAAAAGAAGAAAAAAATAAAGTCAAATCAACATGCTCTCACATGTAGGAAATATGATTTTATTGTATTTTTGTGTCTAAATAAAAGAAGAAGCAAAT